GGAAAAAAAAAAAGAACATGAAATAAAACCAAAATAAAAATTTTAAGACCTTTATAATAATGAGTGCTGTCAAAAAAGTGAAGTAATTGTAACACAATCCTGGTGGGAATGCAAAATCAGTGCCACTTCACAAAAGAGTTTGTCAGTTTCCATTCGATTAAACATATACTTACTATCTGACCAAGCCATCCAACTCATAGATATTTACCCAAATGAAATGAAAACCTATCTTCATGCACAAAAAAAAAAATAGGCAAATGTTTAGATAGGCTTTATTCTTAATCTTCAGATACTAGACCCAACAAAAATGTCCCTCAACTGGAAAATGGATAAACAACTTGTAATGTCCATATGATGAACTATTATCCAGCAACAAAAAGAGATTTTACTACTGATATGTTGTTGATTGCATTGTGTCCCCCAATATTTATATATTAAAGTCCTAACCTTAGTGCCTCAAAATGTGATCTTGTTTGAAAATACAGTCTTTACAGATATAATTAGTTAAGACGAGGTCATACAGCAGCAGAGTTGCTGTATGAGCACCATTGACCTTAAACAATTAGACAGCCAGTTATTTCTCTGGTAAAAATGGGTTTATTTGGGATCAGCAAAGAATTGCAGCTCAGGGTCTGCAACTATGACAAGTCATCTGTGAGTTTCCCAGCAGCAAGGGAGGAGAAACTCTTCTATAGAGGGGAAGAGGAAATTGGAAGGGCTATTGTAAACAAAGAGGTCAAAGTGTAGTGGCTTTTCATTGGCTTAGTTGTGACAGTTTCTCATTGGCTGAGCTTTCTGCCAGTCAAGAAGAGGAAGTCCCTCTTCTTCCTGTTGGGCTCTGCCATCCAAATAGGGTGTGAGAACTCCCGCTTTTGGCCTCCCAATTCCAATTTAATGAGGTTTCTGTTTATCATTTGACAGCTCCTAATTCAATATGACTGTCTTTATAAAAAGGAAAAATTGGAGACATATACACCCAGGGAGAACATCAAGTGAAGATGAAGATAAACATTGGGGTGATGCAGCAGAAGTCAAGGAACACCAAAGACTGTCAGCAAACCAGCCAGTAACTAAGAGAAAAACATGAAACAGATTCTCCCTTACAGCCTTCAGGAGGAAGAAACAGAACCAACCCTGCCAACACCTTGATCTCAGACATCCAGCTTCCAAAAATGTAAGACAATTTTCTGTTGTTTACTCTGTGCAGTTTGTGATACTTTTTAATGGCAGCTTTAGGAAATTAATATAGGTAACAATATGGATGGATCTCAAATGCACCATGCAAACCAAAAGAAGCCAGAGTCAAAGGCCACATATGTTAGGATTTTATTTAAATGACATTCATGCTAAGGCAAAAAGATATGAACAGAAAATAGTTTAATGTTTGCCATGGCATTGAGTAGGAAAAGAGGTTGACCACAAAGAAGCTCAGAGGTCTTGTTTAGATAGTGGAACTCTACTACTTTGTGATCATGTATAGTGGCCACATGGTATAAATTTGACCAGTCTGTTAGAACTATACACTAAAAACTCTGGATATTACTGTTTGTAAATGGTACTTTAATTAGAAATCAGGAGAAAAAAGAAATGAGTAAGACACACATGTGTGCCACCTCAACATATCCAGCTAGGTCTCCACAGGCAATTTAATTGTTTTTTCCCTTGGAAAGTGGGATAAAAGCTATCTGTCCTCATGGGGGACATCCCCAAAGAGCTCCATGTGTCTATAACTCCCTCTTGATTCCCATGAATTAGCCTCTAAAATCCCCAGTATATTTCAACCTGACATCATTTTAGAAGGACCAACTGTGTGCTGAGTCCTTTTAGCCATCAATTATTCATCTGAATGTTAACAGTTGTTAGTACACACTGTGCTTTCCTCCCATCCCCAAATCCTGACCTGAGGATTTGCTATGAACCCCTAATCACGGCCAGGAGAAACACCTTAAGATGAAAATTATATTGATTGACTTTAAAATGATAACCCCTCAGCAAGGTGTTTTATAGAGCTTCCCTCATTTTCTATTCACAAACACAATTCCTTGAATTATGTGGGAGAAGTAATTTTATTCTATATTTTACAGATAAGGAGAAGATAAGAGATTCCTCCAAGGATACACAAAGAATTCATGGTGGATTCAGTACTTGAACACAGGTTCCAGGTTCCATGTTGTATTCTTCCCCTCATCTTTACTGCCTTAGAGACCTTGGAATTTTTTGACCAGTACCTGATAGAGAACATTTCTAACAGTATGTATGTATTATTCTATGGCTGAATTTCTGATTTTGTACTCACTATTCAGGATTCACTGTCCTTCTTTTTCCAGCAGCAAGGTAAGGTTCTATATTCCATATACACTTTTAGTGAGAAGTGCAATTCATGCAAAAGCAATAGGGCAGCTATTTCTACTATGAGTTATTTAAGCCCAAAAATTAGTTTTTTTTAAATATTTTGCTACAGCAGTGAGTTGAGGCTAGACATAAGTATCAAAACTTCCATCAGGGGGCCGGCCCAGTGGTTTGGCGGTTAAGTGCACGCGCTCTGCTACTGGCGGCCCGGGTTCGGATCCCGGGCATGCACCGACGCACCACTTCTCCGGCCATGCTGAGGCCCTGTCCCACATACAGCAACTAGAAGGATGTGCAACTATGATGTACAACTATCTAGTGGGGGGCTTCGGGGGAAAAAAAGGATGAGGATTAGGCAATGGATTGTAGCTCAGAGCCAGTCTTCCTCAGCAAAAAGAGGAGGATTAGCACGGATGTTAGCTCAGGGCTGATCTTCCTCACAAAAAAAAAAAAAAAAAACTTCCATCAGTAGGGAGTTTAGTGATACTTCTGAAACATTATCATGCTGCTTTCCTGAGATTAGTCCAAAAAAAAAAACAAGGATAGATGATGCTATGATTGAGTAGGCATTAATTTCATCTTATTCACTATCTGTTGAGCTCTCAGTGAAGGTTACAAAAAAAAACAGAGTGTAAAATAACCCTCTTGAATTACCAAGATCTATACTTGACTGTAACCTTTTCCCCATAATCTCACTCTTATTATTACTAGCACATCAATAAATGCTGATAGTGAGGTGGCTAAAAGCACAGGGTTTTGATTTGGTCACAGCTGGGTTTGAATCTGAAATTTTGAATTTTCCTCATCCTAGCTGTTAGTTATAGAGCTTTACACAGTTCCTCAAATCATCAGTTCTCTTAATGGTAAAATGGAAACAATAATATCACATAATGTTATTGTGAGGATTAAATGAAAAGATCTTTGTGTGTGTTTATATATACATATATGTATATACACATAAATATATATGCATACAGACCTTATTATTGATTGTAGAACACAGAATATGTCAAAAGTGGTAGTAATTTTCAAATATTGGCAAACATAATGACTTTATGGGCTAGGCATGTAATGTGAAGTTGTGAAAGGATTAAGGAGGATGGCATTAAAACAATAATTATCAGATAATAGATGCCCTTTTAAAGGCTTGAAAGTCAAATAAAAAGCTTAAAAACACCATTCTCACACAAGAATAGATTCAAATAAAAAAATTTAAAACACATAATTGGCCAAAAAAAAATAGATCTGCTACTGACCAACTAGGAACTCTCATCCATTGATCTCTGTGATTCAACTGTGTGATAACTGTAATGAGAGAAACAGTGAATTTAAGAAAGAATATCCTTTCAACTCAAGCTAAAACATGGATTTTAAGGAAGAAATTAATCAAAGAAGGGCTCACATGAAATGGCTGTAGCAGCCACTCATGCAGGCAGAGGAGGGACAGACTGAGAAACATGAGACACAGGAAACCTCAGTGGACCAAGTGTGAAAAAAGGCAAATTGAAGAGGGAGGCTAAAAGACTAAAGAACTCATCCACAACACAGAGCCCTGCATTTAACCATCCACCTTTTCCAAACAAACATGAAGGCTATCATTCCATCCTAATTCTAATCCTGATCATACTATAATACCTAACACAAATCAGACTGTGCTAAATACCCAGTGTTTTACTCATTGTTTTTTATGCACTGTTTTTTATGCATTGTTTTTATGCAAAATTATCATTTAATTCTTGCAATAATATCTTGAGTTAGGTATTGTTAATATTTTCATTTAGCAGATGAAGAAAATCAGGTTCAGGTCAGTTAAGATAGGACCAACGAATCATAGGTAGTGAATGGGTTGGGCTGATACGCCCCTCATCCCTGAACCCTAGCTTTATATTTGATGCTATGCTTTCCCCTCAGAATTGTCTCTGCTGGTTGTGCATGACCCTACTGCCCAGTTATACCACCACATGCACTATGCATACATCTCTCGGTTACGTCACTGTGAAATTCCAAACACTGAGTTTACAACTTTGGAGACACAGAGTAATTATAAATTGAATCAAATTCCACTCGATTTAAATTCAGTTAAAATCCGTGGACTTGGGAATCACTTTGCCTGGGTATAAAGCTTGGCTTTGGCAATAATAATTTGTAAACTTAAATACATTGCTCAACCTCTGTGTTTCACAAATTAAATGGGGATAATAATCAATCTCATAGGATTGTTGACGGTAATAAATGAATATACACGTCAAGTGTCTAGAGCAGTTCTTGCACGTGAGCAACATCGATCTAAGGTTCAGAAAATCTGAGTTCACAGATATAACATTCAAGACGTTTGATATTAATCGGGACATTACATTTTCTACATCTCAGCTTGAAATTTGTAAAATTTAAAAGTTGGAAAATGATCCATGAAAATCTTTCAGCTTCAACAGTGTGTAACTCTATAGACAATTTGTGTCTTAAATTTTATTGTCTAGTAGATACTTTAGATCTGGAGAATCTTGAAGGACAAATTATCGCTATAATGAAATATTGTGTGTATATATATACACACAATATTGAATAAATTTCACTTCAATTTCTTATTTGTTTATCTCTTTTCTTTTATTTCTCATTGCTACAGGGTATCCTGTGATTCCCAAATATCACCCATGGAGAACAATACAGAAGTGACTGAGTTCATCCTGCTGGGACTAACCAATGCCCCAGAATTGCAGGTCCCCCTCTTTATCATTTTCACTCTCATTTATCTCATCAATTTGGTTGGAAACCTGGGGATGATCCTATTGATTCTTTTGGACACTTATCTCCACACTGCCATGTACTTTTTCCTTGGTAACCTGGCTCTAGTGGACCTTGGTTACTCCACAGCTGTCACTCCTAAGGTGATGGCTGGGTTCCTTATAGGAGAAAAGGTCATCTCCTACAATGCATGTGCTGCCCAAATGTTCTTTTTTGTAGCTTTTGCCACCACAGAAAATTTACTCTTGGCATCAATGGCCTATGACCGCTACGCAGCAGTGTGTAAACCCCTGCATTACACCTCCATAATGACGACAAGGGTGTGTGCACATCTTGTCATAGGATCCTACTTCTCTGGTTTCCTAAATGCCTCCATCCATGTTAGGGACACATTCAGTCTCTCTTTCTGTATATCCAATGTGGTCCATCACTTTTTCTGTGATATTCCAGTAGTTATGGCTCTCTCTTGCTCTGACAGACATATTAATGAGCTGATTCTTGGTTTTTTAGCAAGCTTCAATATCCTTTTTGCTCTCCTGATTATCTTGATTTCCTACCTGTTCATATTTGTCACCATCCTGAAGATGCACTCAGCAGAGGGATACCTGAAGGCGTTATCCACTTGTGCTTCTCATCTCACTATAGTTTCCATCTTCTATGGGACAGGCATCTTCATGTACTTACAGCCCAGCTCCAGCCATTCCATGGACACAGACAAAATCGCATCTGTGTTCTATACTATGCTCATCCCCATGCTGAACCCTGTAGTTTATAGCTTGAGGAACAAAGAGGTCAAGAATGCATTCAAGAAGCTTGTGGAGAAGGCAAGATATTCTCTAGGTTTAGTCTTTTATTGATGTAGAATCCACAAAAGTTATTTCACCCCTCTTAGATCTACTCCATGTCATAACAATGTTTATGGTCATCTTGGGTAATAGAACATAAATTTTTATCTAATATTATTTATTTCTTTAGTGTTGTAACAGGTCCAAGCATCCAAATTCAGAAAAATATGATAACTTTTTATTACAATTTATTTAACACAATATATATGGTTTGGGCATGTTTTATCCATACAAATATAAATAATTACAGCATCTTAATAAATTAAAGTGTCAGTCATTACCTAGTGTTTTGGTAAGAGAAAGCGAGTTCACATGACAATTTTTAAAAGATAAATGCTATATTATACTAAAGCAGGGAGAATAACTCATTACTTTACCTTAACCTTCTGACTACCAACTATTCCCATTATGTTAAAAATAATCACTGATATTAATAGTGCTATTTTCCTTTTTTAGCAGGAATATTTTGAATGTTGCTTCCTCTACTGATGCTTTTGTTGAGCTATATCTTGTCTTCTCACTCTCCTACTCATTCACCCCACTTCATTTACACTGATTTCCTTCTATTCCTGGACAACTCCGTGCATGCCTCTGTCTCAGGAGCTTTTCATTTGCTGTATCCTCTTCTGGGATTACTCCCACAATCATTTCAGATTGCTAGTTAAGTGTTACCTGCTCAGGGAATTCATACAGGCCTTTCCTGAACTGCTTTATAAAATAGTCACTCCACTCTTGTTGGACTATCTTTCCTCAGCATTCTGCATTCTTCATAGTTGTTATCAACATTCAGCTGTTGTATCTATTTGTTCACCTGCTCATCCATATCCCTCAACTTGAATGGAAATTCTCTGTAAGCAGTAGCTTAATTTGGTTATTTTACTGGAAATAAAACCATCACATCACTCACAATGATCCTATACCCATTAAGGCCCCCTACTCATGGAAACCAACAATCTGCCTTCAATCTCTACTAATTCCCCTGTTCTGGATATATCATGTAAATAAAATCATATAATACATGACCTTTTATGTCTGACTTCTTTTACTTAGTATAACATTTTTGAGACTCACCCATGTTGTAGCATGTATCAATACTTCATTTCTTTTTATGACTGAATAACACTCCATTGTATAAATACACCATTTTGTTCACACATTCTCAATTGATGGGCTTTTGGATTGTTTTCATCTTTTGACAATAGTTAATAATGCAGCATGAATACTTGTATTTGTGTGCGAGTCTTGTTTGAGGATGTTTTCATTCTTTAGGTCTATAACTAGGAGTAGAATGGCTGGTTCATATGCTAATTCTATATCTAACTTTTGAAGACCACCAAACTGTTTCCACAGGCAGCTGTCCCATTTTACATTCCCACCAGCAATGTGCAAGAGTTCAAATTTATTCACATCCTCACTAATACTTGTTATTTCCATTTCCTTTTCTAATAGCCATCCCAATGTGTGTGAAATAGTATCTCACTGTAGTTTTTATTTACTTTTCCCTAATGACTAAGATTTTGAGCATATTTCCATGTGTGTATTGGCCTTTAGGTAATCATCTTTAGAGAAATATCTATTCAACTCCTTTGCCCATTTTTTCGTTGGGCTGTTTGGTTTTTTGCTGTTGAGTTGCACAACTCTTTTATCTATTCTACATATTAAGCCTTTATCAGAAACACAATTTGCAAATATTTTCTCTCATTCTGTAAGTTTTCTTTTCATTTTCTTGATAATGTGTTTTGATACACAAAAGTTTGTAATTGTGAAGAAATCTTATTCATCTCTTTTTTGTGGTTGTTGCTTGTGTTTTTGGTGTGATACAAAAGAAACCATTGTCAAATCCAAGGTCTGTATTTTTACCCACATTTTCTAATGGTTTTATGTTTTTAACTCCCGTAGTTAGGTAATCAATCATTTTGAGTTGGTTTTTGTGTATAGTGTAAAGTAAGGGTTCACCTTCATTCTTTTGCATGTGAAGATCCAGTTGTCGCAGCACCATTTGTTGAAGACAATTCTTTTCCCTTTGAAGGACTTGACTCCTTTGTCAAAAATCAACTGGCAATAGATATATAGGTTTATTTCTTGTTTCTCAATTCTATTCCATTGCTCTACGTCTCTATCCTTAAGACAGTAGCAAATTGCTTTGCTTAGTTTAGATTTGTTTTATGTTTTGAAATCAAGAAATGTGTCTTTCTACTTTGTTCTTTCTCAAAATTGTTTCGGCTACTGATGGTCCCTTGCAATTCCATGTGAATTTTAATAATAGCTTTTCCATTTCTGACAGCAGAACATTAGAGCTTTGGGGATCATATTAAATCTATAGATCACTTTGGACCATATTGTCATTAAACAGTGTTCAGTCTCCCAATCCATGAACACAGAATGTCTTTCCATTTATTTAGGTCTTCTTGAATTTCAGCAATTTGTTTTGTAGTTTCAGTGTACAATTCTTTCACCCCTGGATTAAATTTATTCCTTTGTATTTTAACATTGGGATGCTGTTGTAAATGGAATTTTTTCCTTAGTTTCCTTTTTGGATTGTTTATTGTCAGTATATGTAAGCACAATTTATTTTTGTTTGGTGATTTTTGTTTGGTGAATAAATGTATTAGCTAATAGTTTTTTGTAAATTCTTTAAGATTTTCTATGTATAAGATTATATCACCTGAAAATGATACCGTTTTTCTTCTTCATTTCCAATTTATATGCCTTGTAATTCTTTAATTTTTATTCAACTTTGAATAAAAGTGGTGATTGAAAGCATACTTATCTAGTATCTGATCTTACAGGGAAGGATTTCAGTCTTTCACATTTGAGTATGATGCTAGCTGTGGGTATGAGTGTAATGTTAGCTGTGGGTTTTTCATTCATGCTCTTCATCAGTTTGAGGAAGTTCACTTCTATTCCTAGATATCCGGTTGTTTTTTATCATGAAAGCATGGAAGATTTTGTCAAGTACTTTTTCTGAATTACTGAATGAGATAATCATGTGTTTCCCCTTCATTCTATTAAAGTGATTAGTTACATTGATTTCAAATTTTGTTTTTTCCAATTTTATTAAGATATAATTGACATATTGCATTATATAAGTTTAAGATATACAACATAATTATTTGAAATGATTACAATAAGTTTGGTTAATATCCATCACCTCACATGGTTACAAATTTTTTATCTTATGACGAGAACTTTTAAGATCTACTCTCGTGGAAACTTTCTAATATAGAATACAGTATTGTTAATTATGGTCGTCATGGTGTACGTTACATCCCCAGAATTTATTTTTCTATAAATGGAAATTTGTGCCTTTTGACCACCTTCACTTGTTTCCCCCTTGCACATTTCCCACCACTGGCAGCCACCCATCAGTTCTCTGTTTCTATGAGTTTGGTTTTCCTAGAACTCCACATATAAGTGATATCATACATTATTTGTTTTTCTCTGTTTGACTTACTTCACTTAGCATAATGCCCTCAAGTTTTATGCATGTTGTTGCAAATGGAGGGATTTCCTTCTTTTTTATGGCACAATCATATTTCTCTGTCTAAATATATACCACATTTTCTTTACCCATTCATCCATCAGTGGACACTTAAGTTGTTTCCATGACCCCTATTCGTTGGCTATTGTAAATAAGGCTGCAATGAACATGGGGTTCTAGCTATCTCTATGTGATAATGATTTCACTTCCTTTCAATATACACCCAGAATTGGAATAGCTGGATCTTATGGTAGTCCTGTTTTTATTTTTGGGGGGAACCTCCACAATATTACCCATAGCTACTGCACCAATTTACATTACCATCAACAGTGCACAAGGGTTCCTTTTTCTCCACATCCTCGCCAGAATTTGTCATCTCTTTTTGATAATAGCCATCCTAACAGATGTGAAGTGATATTGTTTTTGATTTGCATTTCCCTGATGACTAGGGATGTTGAGCACCCTTACAAGTACTGTGGCCATTTGAATATCTTCTTTGGAAAAATGTCATTTAAGCCTTTTTCCATTTTTTAACTAGATATTTGATTTTTTGCTGTTGAGTTGTATGAATTCTTTATTTTTTGGATATTAATCCTTTTTCAGATATGTAGTTTGTGAATATTTTGTCCCATTCCATAGGTTGCCTTTTCATTTTGTTGATTGTTTCTTTCGCTGTGCAGAAGTTTTTACTTTGATGTGGTCCCATTTGTTTAATGGTGATTTTGTTTCCTGTGCTTTAGGTGTCGTATTCAAAAAATCATTGCCAAGACCAATGTCAAGAAACTCTTCCCCCAAGTTTTTTTCTAGAGGTTTTATGGGTTCAGGTCTTACATTTAAGGCTTTAATCCATTTCAAGTTAATTTTCATGAGTGGTGTAAGATAGAGGTCTAATTTCATTCTTAGCATATGAATATCCAATTTTCTCAGCATCATTTATTGAAGAGATTATCTTGTATCCATTGAGTATTGTTGTGTCCCTTGGCAAATAATAGTTGACCATATATGTGACCATATATAAGAGTTTATTTCTGGGCACTTGATTCTGTTGCATTGATCTATGTGTCTAATTTTATGCCAATAATATACTGTTTTGATTAGTATAGTTTTGTAACATAGTTTAAAATCAGGAAGCATCATGCCTCCAACTTTGTTCTTCTGTCTCAAATTCCTTTAGATATTCAGGGTATTCTTGTAGTTGCAAATAAATTTTAGTATATATTTCTCTGTTTCTGTGAAAAATGACATTTGAATTTTGATAGGAATTGTATTGAATCTGTAGATTAATTAGATTGTATGGACAACTTAATAATGTTAATTCTCCCCATCCATTAATATGGGGTATCTATTCATTTATTTTGTCCTCTTCAATTTCTTTAATCAAAGTCTTATAGTTTTCAGTAAACGGTTTTTCACCTCCTTAGTTAACTTTTCCTAGTGATTTTATTCATTTTGATGCAACTGTAAATGGGATTGTTTTTGTAATTTCTTTTTCTGATAGTTTATTATTAGTGTATACAAATGTAACTGATTT